GCCAGCTGCCATATGGAACCTTCAACTCCATGTTCTGCTGTTGTGTACACCTTACTAACAGCCCCATATTGATCCCCATCTGGATGTGGTAAACTCAATTCAATGGCTAATGGTTTCAAAGTCCCATCATTCCTCAAAAGTAAGACAATCCTAGACACATAAGTATTTGTAGAAGTAGAGTTTATCCTCCTGAGGTATAGCATAAATGTATTAAGATGATTCAATATGGACAACCTGTTGCTCCTTAGTGCCTTTTCAACCAAATTCTTTTCAAGTTAAAAAAATTCACGAAACACTAATTTATATACTGTACTTTTGAATGAAATTGAGAAATATACAAAACATTACATCTTCTATAGTGAGACCCTCAAAGTTACGTTCTACATGTTCTTTTGTGAGAGCACTATTTTGATTACCATATACTTTAGCATCTAGCTTGCTCGTTGGAGGAAATTCCTGCAATTGAGATCAAGTGGAGCAAAGGAAAGAAAAGTTGAATTATGAGATAAATTTTAATGTTTTTCTATTTGTTTTCCTTGGATCTACTGCCTTGACAAACAATAGGAAAAATGAAAATTCAAAATGGTGCTCAAACTTACTTCAAGAAGACGAATGATGATAGGGTCTACTATCTGCTCCAACTATATTATAAGGCATCACGGCCATGGAATAAATACTAATAGTAATGAAATACATGACATCTAATAAAAAAATTGTATATTAGCTGCCACTATGCATCCCTATTTTCTTGAATCTTGATGAAGAATTGGGATGCTCTGTTCATTTCTAAAGAAATTACTAGGATCAACCTCAGTCTTAATCTTCACTAATCTATCGAAATTACTCTAAATACTTAGCCCATAATCTCTTTATTCAGAGTATACGACGCTTTCCAATTGTAGCTGGCAACCCAATCAAGATCTCTGTAGTGAGATATGCTTGCCTGGGTTCTTGGACACGAAAGGAGTCATGTAATCGTAGAGTTTCCTTGTCAAATCTATATAATGATTTGCTGCTTCAATCCCAGATTCATTCCAATTTGTTAGATACTGAATCTTCCATAGATTTCCAGCTCTGTGCGGGAATGGAATTTCTGCTGTTGGAATTTCAGCCATCTTTCCACCATAAGGATTGAAGAACATTCTTGGCACTTCCAGTTCGATCATTCTCTTCCAAATCCGCTCCAAACCGGGTTTTGGAATTGGTTCTTTCACATAATCTGATTTCCTCTTCAGAAAAACCAATGTTTGAGGAGTTCGATCCAGCAAAATATTGATTTCTGTCTCCATTGGAATTTCGGCCCAAAAAAGGATGGATTGAATCCAGCTGGTTTCAATGCAATCAGATTTACTTAAACCCAACCTAGGAAATCTCTCATTCATGATGTTAAGGAGGCTCTCAGAATCTCCAAGAAACAAGCAAATGAATGAAGCCCTTACTGTCTTTTTACCATTACTTTGACTGCTGCTATTTACAACATCCAAGGCAAGTCTGATGAAGAGCTCTTCAGGGAGCTTATTTGCAACATGTTGCCATTGGTCCACAATATCTGTCGCATTTTCTTCCAGGGTTTTTTCAACCTTAAAAACAGTGACTTTTTTTGGAACACGAACCACCTTTATTTTATATGCAAGAATGACACCGAAGCTCGCTCCTCCTCCGCCTCGAATGGCCCAGAAAGATCTTCACCCATAGATTTTCTATCATGAAGTCTGCCATTAGCATCAATAAAAAGTGCATCGATTATGTTATCAGCAGAAACACCATATTTTCTCATCATATTACCATAGCCGGCTCCACTGAGGTGACCACCAACGCCAACTGTGGGGCAAACACCAGCTGGGAAGCCATGTATTTTACTCTTCTCAGCAATTCTGTAAAAAAGTTCACCAAGAGTTGCTCCTGTCTGAACCCAAGCAGTCTCATTTCCTATATCGACACCAATGGATCGAAGATTGAACATGTCAAGGACAAAGAATGGAACACTAGATACATAAGACAAGCCCTCGTAGTCATGGCCTCCACTTCGAATTTTCATCTGAAGGTCATGCTTTCTAGCACAAACAATGGCTGCTTGGATATGGGATTGATGCAAAGCAGTGAGAATAAGGAATGGTTTTGGGGTCGAGGTCTCATTGAATCGAAGGTTCCTAATTGTAAGATTCCAAAACAGATGAATATAAGGAGGATTGAGAAGTATAGATTGCTGAAGAAATAGGATAGGAAGGGTGAGAATTGTCTACAAGACATCGAAGAAAAGTTTCCTGATCACCTAAATCTAACGTTGGCCTCCATAAAACAGATAGGAGAACCGTAGAAAGCATTGTAACAACAACCACTGCCCTCAAAATTCCCATATGAAATCATGAAAATTGTTTACAACCTTCCATTCTGATGGAGTTCATAGCATTCCCACTTCCTCCTATTTTCTTCATACATCTTTTTAAACGTCTCAAAATGATTTTTTTAACACTTAATAATCTTATTTTTTATATTTTAATTAATAAAAGTATACAAAAAATTTAAAATTTAAAATATCAAATACACAAAAATCAATTTTTTATCTTAATCTGCGTGACAGCTATTGATGGTCTGTCTATATATATTTAATAAAGAACATAAATTATTGGCCTTTGATTTGAAAAAATAAACTTTTTTATTTTTTTTTGAAAAAATAAACTCTTTTATTTTTTAAAGTTTGTATGGTGGACCATGCTCAAAGTTTAACGTCGAACTACAATTAAAAGATTGCTCCCTATTGTGGCAAGATATTTCAATTTCCAACCACAAGACTATTTTTTTATTTTTTTGGTAAAATTTTTTTAAATAAATAAATTATTTAATTTTTAAAATCAAAATAAAATATTTAATAATTAATAATTTAAAATAAATAATTATAAATAATATATTTAAAATAATTTTAATAAATAATTATCGACAGAACAATAATTCACTGAATATTAATAGTGATGTGTCAGTGCAGGTTGCTGGTGATTTATTAATTATTATTCAGGAATTGATGCCTCTTACTCAGCCACCCACGTGTTCAAGTGCTAGCAGATTTTTTTCTTCTTTTTGTCTCGTGCGGCCAAACAATTAAAAAATATAAAATAAATAAGATGTTTTTAAAATAAATTTTTAGTCACCTTTGAATTCTTATATTTAAATTTACTTATTGAAAATGACGTTATGCATATAAATTTTTTTAAAAATATTAAAAAATTATATAATTAAAAATAAAAACAAAATTCGATAAATCGAGTAAGTTCAATTTATCCATTATCATTATTAAAATTGGAGGTGTTTTATTGATAAAATTGAATTTAAATTAAGTTTGATTGATACTCAAAAGAGGAAGTCAAACAAGAAGTTGAATGAGAAGAGAATATGCATATTAGTATTGATAAGCTTGGTTACTGATATAATATTATATAAAATAATTTTGGAGCGACCATGACCTCTCTCTAACCCTTGGCTCCATCCGCACTTCAAAACCTTACAAAAGCGTTAAATAATTTTATATTAATATTTTAAAAATATATTTAAAAATTTTATTTAAAAATTTTTATTAATAAAATATATTTTAAATCCATTTAGTTTGAATTTAAAAATTTTACTAAAGATGTATAAAAAAAATTAGATTTTAAAAATTAAATGTTTATTTTAAGATTTGAACTTGGTTTCATCTTTATTTGGATATATAACTTTTTAATTTGGTAAGTTTAGATCAAAACTTTTAGACACTTGTTAAGAAACTTGTTATCCAATAAATCACATGTAAGATCTATTAAAGTTAGGACAGTATTGTAAATATAGGTGTTTTTATTAAAACTTTTACAATTTATTTAGTATTGATCAAATTTTGTTTATTAATATCATTTTAATTTTTCATATATATTTTTATTCTTGTTTTACATATTGTTCATCTACTTATAAAATTATATCTATATATTTTCATCAATTTAGTTTTCATTTCATTGTTGTAATGTGGAAACGATATGAAATTTACATAAAAATTCTTCTTTAAGTTTTGTCCTATATACATGAAAACAAGTATTTCATTTAAATTCATTTTTATACATTAATTATGTAATTTTTTAAATTAATCTTACAAGTAAAATTAAAAAATTGTCACATTATCTCATTTTTTTATTAATTAATTTTTTATTTTTTAATTTATACACTAAAAGATATGTTTTATCTTATTAATTTTATTTTTAACATTTAATTTCTTGTATCATTTTTGCTTGACATTTATTACCAAAATTGAAGTTTAATTATTAAGAACTCACATTTCTTAGTGATTAATTAATTTGTAATGAGATAAAATTTCCTAATAATCACATCTTAAAATTTTCATTATAACATTAAATGCTTCCTATAGTTAAGTCCTAAAGTTTATCCTTTTTTCATACATTTTTTAGGAGGTGAAGGGACAAAAAAATTAGTTTGAGTTAAATGCTTTATTTGATGTCTTTATATTTGACACATTGTAACATATAATTATTATATATTATTAGAGAATCAGATGATATCATCTTATTAATAAAATGAATTAAATGACGATAATTCATTAATGAATAAGTTTATTAAAAAATTTAATTTTTTATATATTTATTTTAAAAGTTAATATTTATTTATTTATTAATGAGGTGATATCTTTTAATTTATCGATAATATATAAAATTTATATACTAATAATATATCAAATATAAATTTTTATTATTTTATTATTAAACCAACTAACTTCAACTTACCTGCCTCAAAATATTGATGAATGTGAGATTGATTGAGGAGACACAATATATAAAACATTTAATTTTTATACACTTGAAATTTATACTTATAAACTAAAAATACAATGAATCGAACAACTTAAGGTCCATAGAAGAGTTAAGACCTCTTATTCAACAACGAATACAAAATACCATTGCTTAATATAGAAAAAAATTGATGACGAATTGGAGTTGGACAATACCAGACCACAACAGCTAGCTTCTTCAATTTACCCTCCTGCAGTTGACACGAATTTGTCCTTTCTTCCCAGTCAATGACTTAATGTTTCCCATCTTAATCATAGACTTTGCAAAATCATCCCAAAAAGCTTCAGGGTTCATGCTGTAAGTCTTTACAAGTTTATCAGTTGAGCCACCATTGAAAAGTGCTTGATCTGAGGTGAGTAGTCCCCTTTGTTTCACCAAGTTTTTGAAGTATGCAGTGTCAAAGCGTAGGGTTATGGGTACAAGGATGAAGTAAGAAGAAAGAACCATCTGGCGCATTCTACAGGAACCATCAAACAAATAAAACAAAAGCAGTCAATAACTGATTTCAGATCATAGTCGAGACATTTAACAGTATTTCACAACATCCAGGTATGCAAATATTGTAGTGTTGCATATAATCCAAGCTTCCTGTAGCAAAAATGAATATGCATATACATATGTAATATCTTTGTAACTAAAATATTTAACTTCATGTCCATTTAGATGTGCATTAAGCATTTAACAGTCTTAACTTCTTCATTGTATGTGCATTGTATGTGCATGTGCATTATACATATGCATATGTATGTAGGTCTGCAAATCACTGGCAATGTTCCGGAGTCATATCAAAAGAAGAATTTATAGGGGATCCTTTTCTACTTGACAGAACTTACCTCTTTGAGTTTGCTGGAATCATACATACGTGTGAAACATGTTAATGTGTGCCTGATTGGTGGTTTTATGAATGTATTTGACATATATATTTGTTGAAGATATAATATAATTACTTTGGAACCCATTAGGAAGGGCAAGAGAGGGTGGGGAGAGAGTGTGGATCACTGTATGTAACCTAACATCATCCGAGTCCCACAAAGTTTAAACCCTTCGAATCAGGATGGTAGTAGTGGAAGTTTCTCTCTGGAACATGAGCATCTCTCCAAATGTTGTGATGACTGTGTGAAACAGGAATAAAATGTGATTTAGCCACAGGTTTAGGGACTTAAAAGTGAAAAATCTTTTGCATATCCATGTTTACAGCGTTAAACAATATAATGAAATGAAAGGGTAAAAGACAACTCACTTGGACCAAGTTGGATCAGGCAAATATATTCTTGAATCTGGGAAAAATAGTTTCTGGAACTCAGCAAAGAGACGACATGCACTGGTTCCAGAGAGAGCCTGAATTCCAGCAAACCTCCCTTCTTTTATAATATCTGAATCCTCTCCATATACCAATTTTGCACTCTCCTCAACAAATTTCGAGCTAACTGCAGTAGATGTTGACTCCTTGCCAAAGCATCTCAGAAGATTAGAGTGGAAGATATTTGGAGTTAGAAGATGTATAAAGACAATGAACTCATCTGGTAAGCAAAGAGTCTATACAAATTTAGGATTAAGAACATGTTAATTTACCAAATAATAAATCAGCAAGAACATTTCAAAAGGACAGGTAAGAGGATTACTTCTATAAATATAAGATTTTAAAAACCAAAGGTTAAGAAATTCAGGATATTATCTAACAAAAGCACTGAAATTTTCAAACACTTAATGAACTCAATCAAAAAGTAAAAAATAATAATATAAAAAAGTTATACCCAAAATCTCATTGCAAATTCAGCTTTCAACATATGCATCAGATATTGCACTCGAGGACATTCAACAAATTTCAATTCATTACAGAGATGCCAATTAAAAATGAGCATCAATATCTGATAGGAAAGAACTAAAATTTTATATTAAGTTCTAATTAACTTGCTGTCTTATGCAAATCAAATGAATGATTAAAAAGGACCAACTATAGAATTAAATCAAATATCAAATAAAAAAAGGGGAAAAATTAGAACTATAATGAAAATGAAACTCACAAGAAATTGGTATCCCTAACGCATTGAAGAACAATGGGTTTCCCTTCATCATCCCTGTAAGCTCCCTGAAAACTTTAAGAGTTATTCTTATTACTATTATTTCCTATAATGCCCAAAGAGGAACAAGCAATTGTGATAGAAAAAAAAAAAAAAACCACTCCAAGATTAATCTTGTAAGGACAAGGGTCAACAAGAAAAGCTTTGATGATAGCATTGTGTTGGGCCTGAAGTAGTAAACACAATAACACATAAATAATATATCGTAATAAACCTATAGTAATATATAATAATTAATAATCAATAACATAAAAAAAATAAAGCATATTAAGATTTACGTGTAAAACCCTTTAGTGTAGAGAAAAAATCACGGACTACCAGAAAAATCTCCACTATTAAATAATGGATATATAAAGTTATTATCTAGCTAAAACTAGAGCTAATCAACAATTAGAGAGAGAATTGAAGAAATCTTACCAAATAGGTGACTCAACAAATACACCTTAGATTTGTTCATAGAGAAATTCAAACCCAATTTTCACTGCTCAAAATATAGAACTCTGAATCATAAACCTGCTGACAAATTTTAGCTTAATTAGACTACGGATCAACTTCTGTTTAACCAACCCTCCCTTCTCTTTTTTTTTTTCTATTTTTCTCTACTTTTTTTCTTTCTCTTCTTGGTTTGTGACACAATCTTAAAACAACCCTATTTTTTTTATTAAGTAGCTAGGGCTCTATATAAAAAGAAAGACCAAGGCCCATGGCCTTTGATGGGTCAAAAACCAATTACATGGGGCTGGACCCCATTTTCCTAATAATCTCCCCTTCTAGCCTGGTTAGGAGGAGATTAATCACCATAACAGTTTCATTTGAAACTTACCTTGGCCAAGGAACTCATTTTGGCCAAGTTACTACAAAGTTCAAGCTTTTCCCTGAGAAGTATCTTAGTCAACATATTTGCTACATTCTCAGTATAGACTTCTTCAATAACATCTGCTGTTTCTCAATCACTGAACATAACTAATGATATCTAATATCAATGTGCTTCGTTCTAGCATGGTACATTGCATTCTTACTCAAATCTAAAATACTCTGGCTATCATAAAATACCACATACTCTTTCTGATTCAATTTTAATTCAAAAAGAAAAATGTTTCATCCAAAGCATTTCTTTACTGCTTCGGTTACTGCAACATACTCAGCCTCTGTAGTTGACAAACTAACACACTTCTACAACTTAGACTGCCAAAACACAGCTTTTCCTATAAAAGTGAACAAATACCATAAAATAGATTTTTTACCATTAAGATCACTTGTCATGTCAGCATCAGTAAACCGTTCTAGAATTGATTGTGAAACTCCATAACTCAAACACATTTTTGATGTGCCCCTCAAATATTTAAAAATCTATTTCACTTCTTCCCAGTGAATCTTTACCTGATTAGAAAGAAATCTGCTCACTATACCAACTGTATGAACAATATTAGGCCATGTACAAACCATAAGATACATTAAAGAATTGACTGTAAAAAAATAAAGAATACTAGACATAACTAGTTGTTCTTCCTTAGACACCGAATAAGATTTTTTATTCAGATAAAAATGGTTGACAAATGGATTGCTAACTGATTTAGCATGTTGCATGTTGAATCTACAAAGTACTCGTTCAACATACTTTTCTTATGACAATCACAGCTTTCTAGCTCTCTTACCTCGAATAATGTCTATATCAAGAATTTACTTTGCTTAAGAGAATAATGAAGTTACCATCATAGAATTTTCTGACATAATCACAAGGATCCGCTGTCGTTCTTTTATAGCTGTGACTTACCATAAAAGAATTAAATTTCTTGTATCACTGTCGCAGAGCTTGTTTTAAGCCATATAAGCTTTTTTTCAATTTGCAAACTAAGTGCTCTTTCCTTTTAACATCAAAACCTCAGACTAATTCATATAAATATCCCCCTGTAAGTTACCATGCAAGAATACAGTTTTAACATCAAGTTGCTCAAGCTCAAGATTCAAACTAGTTGCTAATTTCAATACCATTTGAATGGAACTCATCTTCACAACTAGAGCAAAGATCTTATCAAAATCGATACCTGATTTCTGAGAAAAACTTTCATCACTAATTGAGCTTTGTACCTCACTAGTTTATCACCATCTTTTTTAAACTTGAACACCCATTTATTTTTCAATGACCTCCTCCATTTCAAAAGTTTAACAAAATCATAAGTGTCATTTTTTTACAATGACTCCATCTTTTTTTTTATTATTTTTAATCAGTGCGCTCTATCTGGAGTAGTCTGTATATCTTGAAAGCTCTCTGACTCTCCTTTACTGGTAACTAAAATAAAATCTGAACTTGAATACCTGATAGATAGCTTGTACTCTCTAGTAAATCTTCTAGGGTAAAACTCTACACCACCTGATGCTGAAGGTATCTTCCTTTGCTCAACACTCTAAGGTAGAGAAGATTGCTCCCCCTACTCAAATTGATTACATCTAGCTCATCACTAAATGTGACTGACTCATTCATATCTTTAAGTTTTGTTTCTTGCTTATATCCACCATTGTGGCTCTTTCCTGTAGAACCCCTATTGGTGTTAAAACATCACACTCAATAGTAACTTATGTAGTCTTCTCATTTTTTTCAAGGTCTGTTATGGTTTTTTTTTTTCATGAAAGATCACATCTCTACTTCTAACTATCTTTTTTTTTCATTAAATCCTATACCTTGTAGCCAAATTTCTCATCATCATATTTCATAAACACACACTATATGGCTTTACTATCAAGCTTTAACCTCATTCTTTTCGGTACATACATGAATATTTTATACCAAAAAACTTTCAAGTGAGAGTATGAAGCATATTTTCATATTCATACTCTTTCTAAAATGTCAAAGTCTAAATAAATTGATGGTGATCTGTTAAGCAAAAAACAAGCTATATTAACTGCTTCACCTCAAAATAGTTTTGTAATTTTGTCATCCTCAACATGCATATGACTTTTTCCATAATGATGCAGTTTATCCTTTCAGCTACACCATTATGCTATGGTGTTTCAGGTTCTGTCATCTTATGTTTGATCCCATGATTTGAATAATACTTTTCAAAGTCTTTGGATGTGTATTTTTCATCATTATCAGTCTAAATATATTTCAAGGGTAATCCTGTCATCTTTTTCATCATGATATGAAAATTTTAAAAATACTGCAATACTTAGCTTTTTTTTTTAACATATACACCTAAGTCTTACTTGAAACATTATCAATAAAAGTAACACAATACTTGCTACCATATAATGACTCTACCTTAATGGGATCACATATATCAAAATAAATCAATTCCAATTTATTTTTTTTTTGAAAATTTTTATGAAAAAAAACTCTACAATGCTTACCAAATAAATAATGATCATATGAATCGAAAAACATACCTTTGATCAAGGAAATGAGAGGTTGTTTTGTCAAAACCTGTAACTTTTTCTCATTCATGTATGTCAACCTCTTGTGCCATAAGTTTGTTGAAGCATCATCCTTAATGACATTTATCTGATTGTTGTTCAATTACATCCATATCTTATACATTGTGCAGCATAATTTTTTCCTTGTAACTACTATAGATCTTTTGAGAGGCTTTCACTGCCCATTTTTTTTATCAACTCTCATATCCTTTCTTATCAAAGACATTAATAGCAAGCAAGTTCATTCTTATATCTAAAATACGTCTAACATCCCTCAAAGTCAACTGCAGCCTATACTAGTTTGTATAACAATATCACCAATCTTAACAATCTGTGACACATTCTTATTTCTCATCTTGGTGCAACAAAAGTCTCTTGCTTTGTAAGTTATAAACAACTCTTTTTGAGAAATACAATGATATGCCGCTCCTGTATCAACCATTCACCTAATGTCGGGATCACTAATATGATTACAATCATCATGTGTACAAATCAAAATAATTAAATCACTATCTGAATTCACTGTTGCAATATTGCCATCATCTAAACTCTTACCTTTTTCATCTTTTTGATCTTGCTTCAACATTTTACAATATCATTTTATATGACCTGCTTTACCACAATGAAATACTTCACTTTTTCTCTGGACTTAGATCTATGTTTAGACTTACTATAGCTTTTTGAGTTCTGACCTCTGTCGATGTTTCTATCTCTATTCTCTGTGACCAAAGTTTGATTCTCAGGGTCTACATCTTTTCGCCTTGCTTTTTCATTAAGCTTACTGTCCTTTATCATTTTCAATGTTACCTTGTAATTAGGAGCTGAATTAAGAACAATCACAACTAAAGTATTCCAGCTTTTCTGGCAATGAACCCAAAAGAAATAACGCTTTTATTTTATCATCTATCTTAAGCTCTATAGTAGTCATCCGATTAAATATACCTTGAAAATCACTTAAGTGTTCTGTAATAGATCGTTCATCCATTTACTGTAAAATTATAAGCTTTTTAACAAGCATAACTTTATTTAAACCTATTTTTCTCTCATACAATGTTGTCAATTTTTTTCAAACAATGTAAGCATTTGCCTCTTGCATTACATAATGGAATATGCTAATATCAACCCATTTTCTTATTATAGCCAGTATTTTTTTATATAATTTCTTTCAGTTTTTATCTTTTATATTTGCTGGGTTTAGTCGAATCACCAAATATCTGTTCATATAAATCTTTGCAGTATAAATGATCTTTCATCATAGGTTTCTAAATTGAATAATTTGATGCTGTCAATTTTATCATGAAACTTGTATCACCTTTCATGATATCAAATAGAATTTACTTCTATCTTGGGCTGCTTTTGTATTTTTGTCTCAAAATAATCCTTGCTCTGATACCATTTGTCAAGCCTAAAATAATAAACACAACAACATAGAAGCAATATATCACAATAAACCCATAGTAATAGACAACAATCAACAATCAGTAATCATTAATGCAGAAAAAATAAAACACACCAAAATTTATTTGAAAAATCTTTTAGTGTAGAGAAAAAAATCACGAACCACAAAAAAATCTTGTTGGAGAGATAAACTATACTTGGAGCCCATAGGAGCACACCAGAGAGCTCATACATACATATTGGACACCATTTGAACCTAAAAGCTTAAGCTATTAGATTCCTAAGGTCCTTCATGTATATATAGGACATCTTATTCAGATTTTTTAATGATGTTGGATTCTTTATTCACATGTGAACCATATCCCAACAATTTTCTCCATTCACTAGTGAATTTTGATCAAGTTCCACCTCAGCTCTCCTGAGTAAGTCTTATCAACACTTCCTTTGAGTCAGACAACCTCACATCTCTACTGCGCTTTTAGGCTAGGCTACAGCATTCAACCTTGTCACATAGGTTGTCTCACTGCTCCCTTAAACTTACACTCCAAGTTGACTTAACACATTGCCCACTTAGGTGTTTCGTTTCTGCATATTATTATATACTCATTGCATCCAAGTCGAATATTTAATATTGGTATTCGAATACATGGAGTTGATAGATGCGGCCAACCTTTGATCTATCAACAATCTCCCCCTAGCAACATTACTGGGACTCGAACTTGTGACTTTTCGAACCCGTCGTAATCTTAGCTTTGATATCATTTGTTGGGGAGATTAATTACACTTGGAGTCGTAAGAACATACCAAAGAGTACATACATATATGTTGGACATCACTTCAGCCTAAAAGCTTAAGTTATTAAGTTCTTCGATCTTTCATGTATATATAAAATATCTCATTTAAATTTTTTAATAATATAAAATTTTTTACTCAGATATGAATCATATTCCAATTCATTGATGGGTCCTTAGTATCTGGAGTGACATGGTCCCACCGTGACCGTGAAGTGGCTCTGGCCCTGGTGGAAGTTGATATTCCTCTTCTCAGATATCTCCACATAATCGTCACCAAGAAATGCGAAAAGCTGCCGCTGCTTTGGTTCTGTTGTGTTCAGGTAACTCATAGTTGAGTCTATAAATACGAAGAAGATGGAAGCCTGGGAAAAAGGAAAATCAACGGTGTTTTTCTTCATCTTCCATGGTTTTATGTTTTGTTCAAAAAGATGGGAGTTTTGACTTGGTTTTTCAGTGGGCTTTTTCTGTTTTGTTCGTTGGTTTTTTTTCTTTTACTTTTGTTTTTCCCGCTGTAGCCAACAGAATTGCAAGAAATATGTTGAGATTTGAGAAAACAAATGGGCCATGGTTAAATGACCTGATTATGGCCTTCTTTTATTAGTAATTTATTACACATCCAATATTATAGGCAATATAACCTTCACCATCATAAAATAAATAATAATAGTAATGAAATTCATGACATCAAATAAAAGATTATATATTATCTGTCACTATGCATCCCTATTTTCTTGAATCTTGATAGGGAAAAATTGGGATGCTTTGTTCATTTCTAAAGAAATTACTAGGATCAACCTCAGTCTTAATCTTTACTAATCTATCGAAATTACCATTAAAATACTTGACTCCGTAATCTCTTCTTTCAGAGTATAGGCCTTTCCCATTGTAGCTGGCACCCAAATCAAGATCTCTGTAGTTGAGATATGCTCGCCTTGGGTTCTTGGACACGAAAGGAGTCATGTAATCGTAGAGTTTCCTTATCAAATCTATATAATGATTTGCTGCTTCAATCCCAGATTCATTCCAATTTGTTATATACTGTATCTTCCATAGATTTCCAGCTCTGTGCGGGAATGGGATTTCTGTTGTTGGAATTTCAGCCATCTTTCCACCATAAGGATTGAATAACATTCTTGGCACTTCCAGTTCGATCATTCTCTTCCAAATCCGCTCCAAACCAGGTTTTGGAATTGGTTCCTTCACATAGTCTGATTTCCTCTTCAGAAAAACCAATGTTTGTGGACTTCGATCCAGCAAAATATTGATTTCTGTCTCGATTGGAATTTCGGCCCAAAAAAGGACGGATTGAAGCCAGCTGGCTTCAATGCAATCAGATTTACTTAAACCCAACTTAGGAAATCTCTCATTCATGATGTAAAGGAGGCTCTCAGAATCTCCAAGAAACAAGGAAATGAATGAAGCCCTTACTGTCTTTTCACCATTGCTCTGACTGCTGCTATTTACAACATCCAAGGCAAGTCTGATGAAGAGCTCCTCAGGTAGCTTATTTGCAACATGTTGCCATTGGTCCACAATATCTGTCGCATTCTCTTCCAGGGTTTTTCCAACTTTGAACACTGTGACTTTTTCTGGAACACGAACCAGCTTAATTTTATATGCAAGAATGACACCGAAGCTCGCTCCTCCTCCACCTCGAATGGCCCAGAAAAGATCTTCACCCATAGATTTTCTATCAAGAAGTCTGCCATTAGCATCAATTAAAAGTGCATCGATTATGTTATCAGCAGAAAGGCCATATTTTCTCATCATATTACCATAGCCAGCTCCACTGAGGTGACCACCAACGCCAACTGTGGGGCAAACACCAGCTGGGAAGCCATGTATTTTGCTCTTCTCAGCAATTCTGTAAAATAGTTCACCAAGAGTTGCTCCTGTCTGAACCCAAGCAGTCTCATTTCCTATATCGACATCAATGGATCGAAGATTGAACATGTCAAGGAGGAAGAATGGAACACTAGATACATAAGATAAGCCCTCGTAATCATGGCCTCCACTTCGAATTTTGATCTGGAGGTCATGCTTTCTAGCACAAACAATGGCTGCTTGGATATGGGATTGATGCAAAGCAGTGAGAATAAGGAATGGTTTTGGGGTCCAGGTCTCATTGAATCGAAGGTTCCTAATGTAAGATTCCAAAACAGATGAATATGACGAGAATTGAGGAATATAGATTGCTGAAGAAATAGGATAGGAAGGGTGAGAATCGTCTACAAGACATTGAAGAAAAGTTTCCTGATCACCTAAATCTTCCTGATCACCTAAATCAAACGTTGCCCTCCATAAAACAGATAGGAGAACCATAGAAAGCATAGTAACAGCAAGCACCGCCCTCAAAATTGCCATATGAAATCATGAAAATTGTTTATAATCTTCGATTCTAATGGAGCTCATTCCATTTTTGGGTCGATCACTGGTTTCTTATACTCGCTCCTATTTTCTTTATAAATCTTTTTAGATGTCACAAAATGATTTTTTTTTGACACTTAATAATCTTATTTTTTTATTTTAATTAATAAAAGTATATAAAAAATTTAAAATTTAAAATATTAAATACACAGTCTATTTTTATCCTAATATGCGTGACAACATTGGTGTTCTGTTTATATATATCTAATAAAAAACATAAATTATTGGCCTTTGATTTGAAAGAATAAATCTTTTTTATTTTTTCTCTAAAAAATAAACTTTTTTATTTTTTAAAGTTGAAATGGTGGACCATGGCTAACAGATTAAACGTCGTACGACTATAAAAAGATTGCTTCCTATTGCGATAAGGTATTTTAATTTCCAACCACAAAATTGTTGTTGAATGGACAAGACAATAATTCACCGAATATTAATAATGATCTGTCAGTGTTAGGTTGCTGGCGCTTTGTTATCCATAAATTTGATACAATAGCTTAAAAATTATATACGTATTTAAAAGAAAATTGTTTCGGATTAATTTATGTTGATATGAATTTTAATATAATATAATTCGTATTATATATACAGTAATTTATTTAAACATTTAATGTAATATGAATAAAATGTTTAATTTAATTTAATTATATTAATATATATTTAATATGTTTAATGCATTTAACATATTTTTTATATTTATTTTAATTTAATATAAATATATAAAAATTATTTTAATTTTTAATTTTTTAATTATGATATTTAATTAATTATTTAATTTCATATAAAAATTAATTTAAATATTTAATTATGATACTCATTTAATTATTATTATAAAATTATTTTTTATATTAATAATAAAGATACAATATAAATATTAATATTAGTCTTATATATTATTATTTTTTAATTTTTAATAGTTTATTATTTAAAATTTGATACTAAAAATTAATATAGCCATGTAATATAAATTAAAATTAAAAAATATATATTAAATATACATTAAATGAATATTAAATATTTTATTTTTTAATATGTAAGTATTTTTTATATTATTAATATGCTAAATTCATTAAGTATTAAATGATGAATAATTTATAGTTATTAATTTTTTTAATCATGTTGTTATATATATTTGTATTAATTATTTTTATTCATATATATATATTCATGTTAATCATATTTATTTATATATATATTATTCATATTTATTTATATCATATTTAAATAAATTAATTGTATATATGTTCATATTTTATATAATATATATATATTAAATGTGTTGTATTAGTATTTAAAATTTAAACATTATTTATAATTCATGTTATATTTATATTTTAATAATTTATATCATTATATATATATCAAATACGACATTAAAAATACGAATTATATATCTACAAGAAATTGACTTATATTACTCATCCACCCACGTCTTCACGTGCTAGCAGATTTTTTTTTTCTTTTTGTCTCATGAGGCAAAATAATTAAAAAAAATATAAAAATAAATAAGATCCTTTTTATTTTAAATTTGGGTTATTTTAAATTTCTAACTCTATATTTATTTGATTGAAAATGAAGTTATGTAAATAATTTTTTTTTAAATTAACAATAAAATAACATAAAATTTTAAAAATGAACAAAATTTAATAAATTGAGTAAGTTCAATTCAGCCATTATCATCACTAAAATTGAAGGTGTTTTATTGATAAAGTTGAATTAAAATTAAGCTCGATCGACACTCAAAAGGAAAAGTCAAATAATAAATTAAATGAGCGAAAGAAAGAGGCATATTAATATTGATAAGTTTGGTTACTAATCTAGAATTATATAAAAAAATTTTTTTGGGGGATCTTGACCTCTGTCTAACCCCCTTATCTTCGTTCCTACTGATACCTCAAAAAGCTTAAAAAAATTCAACCTACTTTTACCTATTAAAGTTCATTGTTAGTTAAAGTATTAAATAGCTTTATATTAATATTTTTAAATATATTTTAAAATTAAATTTAAAAAATATTATTAATAAAATATATTTCAAATCCAATTGGGATTGAATTTAAAAATTTTACTAAGGATGTAAAAATTTTTTTTTGAAAGATTAAATATTTATTTTAAGATTTGAACTTTGCCTTGATCTTTATTTTGAGATATAACTTTTCAATTTGATAAGTTTAGATCAAAACTTTTAGACACTTGTTAAGAAATTTGTTAACCGATATATATGTAAGATTTATTAAATTTAGGGCAGTATTACTTGCACTCAACTATTACATTAATATTACATACTTAATTTTTTATTTTAGGGACTTAAGTATAAAGTGTTAAAATTTTTATGGATTATAATAGAATTTTAAAAATTTATATATTATGTAAGTGTGCAAAATGAGTATATTAAATAAATGTTTATTGAAAAAAAGTATATAATATATTTTTTTAATTTAACTATTTATCATCAACATGAAAGAAATATAGGCTAACTTTATACATGCACGCCTTAGAGTCAATTTGGATAAGTGGAGAAACTAATTCAGTTGAAATTCAAAATAACGATGACGGTAAGATTAATCATTGTCACAATAAAATTACAATCAATCATAAGATATATATTTGAATGTAAATATAGTAATAAAAATGAGGTAAAATATAATAAAAAATAATTATAAAGAATATTAGATTAAAATTTAAATATAATAAAAAAATTTTAAAAATACTATAAAAATTTATTTATTATATAAAATTAATAAAGTTATTTAAAAATTTTTAAATAAAAAACAAAAGTTAAAGTGCTAGGGATATTTTTGTCCTTAAACTAATTTTAAGGATAAAAAAAAGTGAGGTTAAAAATGAAAAAAGGTAATGCAATGGAAGGGGAGAATCTCCACTGGGGCCTCCCCCCTGCGATTCAAATTCTTAGTACAGTTGATGCAAACACACTGTGCTCATGTTATCCAAATGACTTTGGTGCGAAATGAGGTGAAAAGCATGTTATTCTCACCGCGCACTTCGATTAGATTCAAATGGAGCTTTAAGAAAAAAAAAAAAAATCTTCAGGTCAAATTTGGATGATTTTATATTAAGAATAATTAATTAAATTTAAAAAAATTTTAAATCAATAGATTGATCGAGATTATTTAATAGATCAAGTATATATTTAAAATTTCAAATATGTCGAGCAAGTTTTAATATTGTAAATATAGGTGTTTTTATTAAAACTTTTACAACTTTGTTTATTAATATCATTTTAATTTTTTTTATATATTTTTGTATTTTTTTACATATTATTGATCTACTTATTATCATAACATATATATTCGTAGATCTATTGGTAAACATAAATGAAATGAGTCGTCACTAATTTTTTTTGTTAAAGTGTGATTGGTCAATATATTTTTAAATCTGATAAATATTTTAATTAGTATTAGGGTGTAATACTAACCAGCAGTGTTGATTGTTATCGTGTAGCTTCTTATATAAAGAGCTGAAGGGAAGATAGTTGACCAACAGATTTAGATTCATTGACCCCAACTTCATTAGTAAGCAGAATGACACAGTCGTATATCGTGCTAATTATGTGATCCTATGCAAGAAAAGACCGACTGATTATTATTTGCTCCCGTATAATGTGCAGTAACTATATTCCAACCTTAATTACACTAACCTTACCTAAATATGATTTGATGCATATTTTGAGTATATCATTGTTATTATTTCGTAGTCGTCATTGGATGCTTATTGTGATTGACACCAAATCTTTAACGCCATACCTTCTTAATTCAGTTAATCCAACGGCGATGCTTAATCCCGATATTTAAACTTTTATAAAAGAGGTATTACACTTTATTATATTATATATGTTTTGTTTCTTCATAAGTAATTTTATTTATGTTCTCACTAATTTTTTTCTTTTCAATTTAGGGTAATATCTGCATCCGATAAGAAGATAAAGAAATCACAATGAGTGTCATTATCGGTAAATGTGAAATATATTCTTTTAATGCTAAGTTTGTGTAGATAAATATTTTCTAAACTCACTTAATTTAATTTTTAGGTACCTCGTCAACCTAGTAATACTGAATGTAGATATTATGTCTTTCGTTTTATGCAGGAGATAGTGTTACATGATTTTATGACTACATCATTCAAGGTTAGTATAAATTTCATAAACTCGTTATATATTCAAAAAAATAAAATGGTACATTATGTTCTCATTTCTGAACATTTACTTCTATTTTTTTTTTTAGTGGGAGGGTAAAAAAAGCTTCACGGAAGAGGAGCTGGATGAAGTCCGAAAAGAATGGTGTGATTATGTATTTTCATTTATCAATGTTGATAAACTTTTAGGTTAGACATTGTTGGTTGAATGTAAATATATATGGAACAAATTGTTATAATGTTTTTAACATGTCATGTTGAATGAAAACTTTAAGTTTGTACATTGGGGGTATTGGTTTAATATTATTGTTATATTTAATATGAATACACTATGTGTACTTAATAAATTACTGAATACAATTATTTTAGAAAAGTATATTAATATGACAACGTTATCAATTTTAATTTCGGATGTGTGGTCAATTTATTGAAATACAACAATGTTTATTATGTAAATTCAAAAATGTAATTTATAGTATCATATATATAAACTAAATATTTTCTAGACATAAATATATAACTGATAGCAAACGTTTTTCTGGACATAAACCTACAACTGACTTCACATATACAGTATCAAATATGTTTTTTTTGATAGGGATTAATGAAGGCATTTTTAGCAAAAAATGCCTTCAATCACCTCTAACAGAAAACATTGAAGGCGTTTTTTACCAAAATCGCCTCCAAGAATCCCCAAAAAAATTATTGTGTGGAATATTAAAGGTATTTTGGGTAAAAAACGTTTTCAATAATACCAAATAAAAATTAATCGAATGGATTATGAAGGACGTTTTCCTATAGGTAATGCCTTCAATAATCTCTAACAAAATGTTTATGAAGGCG